GAGTATTTGAAGAAAGGTATTTTAAGGCAATGTAAATATATTCTTCCTTATCACCTGTCAGTCTATATCAGTATGGACTAAAGGTCTCCTGTTTTATGTGATGGGCTATTATTTGTTATAATCATTATTATTTCATTTTCAAATTGTCCTATATTTGGCAAGTGGGACGCCCTTAGAGTTGTCTTCTGTGTCCTTTTGGCATCTCTCTATAATTTGTGTGTATATATATATCTATAATAATAAAAGCGTAATATGCAAATCGACTGAACGACTGAACAGCAGAATGACTGTCCGGACGACCTTCCGGATGACCATGCTATGACACGCACTGGTGCCAGGCCAGCCAAAGCGGATGCGATGTGATTGGTTGGGGGGCCCCGCCATTGCCCCACGATGGCCCCACAGAGGGAGGCTCAGGCCACCAGCTGGCAGGGTGATCGATCAAGGGGTTGGAAGGGCCTCTCTGATCATGCAGCCCCTGCCAGGTGGGCAGGGCCTCCCTCTGTGGGATGATCAATCACAGAGCCTCATGATCGATCGATCGCCCCCCCCCCTCCCCACAGAGGGAGAGGCCCAGGCTACCTGGCCGGCAGCACTGCAGCAGGACCACATTGGCTACTCACTCCATGTGGACCCCTGCCTGGCTCTCCTTGGGCTCTGACATTCCTGGCCAGTTTACTCTCTTCTGGATGCCTTTCTTACCCTTTTCATGCTCTTCAGGTTCTGATACCCCCAGTGAGCCACCCCCACATAGAGGGGTTTTAATTAATGAATTTTTTTATTGATTTCAGAGAGGAAAGGTGAGAGAGATAGAAACATCAATGATGAGCAAAAATCATTGATTGGCTACCTCCTGCACACCCCAACTGGGGATCGAGCCTGCAACCCAGGCATGTGCCCTGACCAGGAATAAAAAAACAACACACCAAACAATAAAAACAAAAGGCCATGCATTCATTTTTTGCTTTCCGTACTCCACATTGGGAACTTGACTTGGTTTCTTTTAGTGGAGTATAATATTTAGAAACTTGTCTGCCTAAACCTGCTTGGGCTCTAACATCCCATGCCCGGTTATCTCTCCATTGTTAACATTCTTATGCCATTGAGGCTTTCATAAACCTCTTGTTCACCATACTCAGACTGTCTTTACCACATTGGCTACTCACTCCATGTGGACCCCTGCCTGGCTCTCCTTGGGCTCTGACATTCCTGGCCAGTTTACTCTCTTCTGGATGCCTTTCTTACCCTTTTCATGCTCTTCAGGTTCTGATACCCCCAGTGAGCCACCCCCACATAGAGGGGGCTTGTTTGGGCTCAGGTTCCCCTTGCTAGGCAACCCTACCACATGGATGCTCTCCTAATATTGCTCAGGTTCTGATGCTACATGCCAGGATGCCTTCCTATAGGGATGCCCTCCTTACCTCACTGAACCACAGCTCCTTTCCTCCATATTTACATTTATTATTTGCCACCCAAAGGCTTTAGAATTTAATTGTTCAGGAAGGGTTAAGGCTACTTGAATGGTTTTTAAGTGGTCTTGAATATTATTTTCACATTGTTTTTTTTTCCTATTTAAATATTTTGAATAAAAGTCAAATATATTACTTTACATTAACTAATTTTTTAGGATTCATGTATTGCTTCTATGTAATTAAAGTACTCATTTTGGATTGTTTTGTAGCGAGCCCAAGCTGCACTGCAGGCTGTCAGTGCTGTCCAGTCAGGAAGTCTGGCCCTTCCTGGAGCTCCCACCAATGAAGGCACAATGCTACCTGGGCAGAGCCCTGTGCTCCGGATAATTATTGAAAACCTCTTTTACCCTGTTACTCTGGAAGTTCTTCATCAGGTAAGGAGGGACCTTCTTAAGAAAGCAGAGTCAAATGTGCCTCTGTAACTTTAGATGTTTTATATCTTTAGTTTTTTGGGTTGTTGATTTTGTTTGATGTATTTGTTTAAATTTTTAAAAAATTTACCGTGTTTCATGCAAGAAGTAGTATCAATTAGGGATAATTTTGATACTCCCTGTTTTCTAACTTAAATACTTGATTTTAAAAGATGTGTAAGACATTCTTTTTTTTTTTAATTCCTAGACATGAAAATAAATAAAGTATAGAATCTATAAAAAGCACTGGTGATAGTTATTCCTGACAAAGTAAGATCAGTATAGAAAATAACTAATTTATTCCTGTTGACTCTTTACATTTGAGTATTTTTATTTTAAAAACTCTGAAAGGAAGGTATACAACAATTCTTTACATGTAACATGGAAATATGTTAGTGCTGACTGATGCCCAATGTAGCTTTCATTGACTACCCGTAATATGCCTAACCCGTCTTGATAAAAGACATTCTACCATATTTTGGCCTACTATGTGTATATAGAATTTAAGGATTGGGAGGTCACCTCGTTGTGTAATTTTATAGTGAATAAAACTGAAATTCAGATAATTGATGCATTGTAGAGAGTAATTGAAGAGCCAATTAGAACTCAAGCCTCCTAATGTGAAGTCCCATGCTTGTTATATTTTTAATACTCCATATGTACATACCTTCAAAGTTTAACATGTAGTTATTTGGTAATCTGTATACATAAATATTTGGCATCTAGCCCAACAACTTCAGTTAATTTTGTCCCTTTTAGCTGCATAATGATTTCATTTCATTATACTTGTCAATCCATGTATTAAAATACTAAAACATGTTATTTGCTTATTTTCATATCTGTATCTCAATATATATTACCAGTATAAAACCAGGTCAGTCCAGGATTATTTAACTGCTTTTCTGATCTTTGTATTTGTACTAAAAGTGAAGAGTGATTGAAGTATGTATGTGCATGTGTATTTACGAATTGAAATGCTCTTAACTCTATTCTCACATTTTACAAATAAGGAAACAGGCCTTCTTTAGAAGTTACACTAGGTTTCCACAGTCACTGTGCTAACTGGTGATAGAGCTTGGATACTTTCCTAATGCAGCTCCTGTGCTATGCATATAAATATCAAAACATACCATTTATTAGGCCCACTGTGATCCCTATGATAGTTTTCTGAGTACCATTTTCTTAAATATGCATTTGTAAAGCATGTCCTAGGGAAGACTTTAACAGAGGTATCCATAGCCACTTTTGTTCCCTGAAAGGGTTCAGGAATTGCTCAGGTGATTGCTTTCTTTTTTCTGGTGGATTTTCTTCTCTTCTGTTTATTCCACAAAATGGCACTGAGCACGCTGTGATCCATCAGCAGTGTTTGTTTGTTTTTGGTACTGTAACCCTGTAGCTACTGCTAACGTACGCTGTGTTACAAAGGACATTCTTGGTCCTGTGGCTCAACATTGCCATCTGTCACGGTGAGTTTAGCCAGGGTCATGTGGTTTGGTCCTGTCGTTCCATTTATTATCTTCATGACAGCAGTAACAAACCTTGTTTCTCTCCCAAAAGATCATGTGGTCCTTCCGGTGAAGAGTAGTAATTCTGAGGATCCTCAATAGTAACTTTGGGGGTAGGACTCTCGGCCTTCAGTTATAGCACTCCCTTGTTTCATGCTCCTTCCCATTGTTGTTGAAATCAAACCAAATTCTTTACCAAGGCCCTAGGGCCCCCACATGCAGACCTCTCCCCATCTCTTTAACCCCATTTCCTAATACTTCTCTGCTTATTTAGCACCCTGACTTTTTTGCTTCATTGATCTTCTCCCCTTCCCTCCAGCTTATTCCTGTCTTAGTCCATTTTTATTTTCTATTATTTAAGCTTAGAACACTCTTCACTGAGATAGTCACTTAACTGGATTTTACATAATTAGGTTTTCACTTTATTCACCTCCTCAGAGAGTCTTTCTCTAATTACATTAACTAAGCCCTCTCCCTCTAGTATCCTGTCTCATTAACCAACTAAAGTGTAGTGTAGCCTAAGCATTAAGGATACAGGGTTTGGAGCTGGTTTGAATCCTGGCTCTACCACTTACTACTTCTGTAATCCCGGGCAAGTAACTTAGCTCATCTATGCCTTTTACTTACTTACTAGTCCATAATGGAGATGAATTAAGATGGTCTCTAATACCTTCATTGTGAGGTTTATATGAGTTAATGCACTTAAAGCACTTAGAACAGTGCCTGCTGTATATTAAGTGCTCAAGAAATTTTATCTGTAATTATCAGATGCTAGTAAATTTCACTGTAAGGAAATGAGATGTAATTTCATAAGTAATCGCATAAAATGCAATGAATATTGAGATGGGATCATACATGGAAATGTGGAGTTGCTTGCACCTGTTACAATTAGAGGATTGTTTTATATTCTTTGCTGAAGAGTTGGCATTAGCTAAACTGCTCTTTAACACCTGTAGGAGCTTGTGGTTGTTCCTTTAGCTCAGCCGTGGGCAAACTACGGCCCGCGGGCTGGATCCGGCCCGTTTGAAATGAATAAAACTAAAAAAAAAAAAAAAAAAGACCGTACCCTTTTATGTAATGATGTTTACTTTGAATTTATATTAGTTCACACAAACACTCCATCCATGCTTTTGTTCCGGCCCTCCGGTCCAGTTTAAGAACCCATTGTGGCCCTCGAGTCAAAAAGTTTACCCACCCCTGCTTTAGCTCATGGTAAAGGGATTGAGATGGGAATGGTGCTATTTCAGATGATGGACGTTAAGAGAGATGTTTTTAATATGTCATTTGAGCAGAGGCTTGAAGGATGTTAGGGTGTAAGTTGTGTGTACGTGGTAGAATTATGGTCAAGTCAGAAAAAGCAGCAAGTGCAAAGTCCTGAACATGAAGGTGTGCTTAATGTGTTCAAATATCAGAAATAAGGCTCTGTCGGTGGAATATAATAAGTAGGAACGTAGTAAATAAGAGGGTCAGAGAAGCAGTTAGGAGCCATATTATGTAAATAAAGATTTTATTATCTTACATGGAAGTAAGATGGGAAACCATTGGAGGATTTTGGGAAGAGGGGCACATTTACGTTTTAACAGAGTCACTCTTATTGCTGTTATAAGACTACAGACAATAGTACAGTGAAGGCCTGGGGATGGGGTGGGAGCTGGGTGGAAGGGGTCAATGAAAAAAAGGGACATCTGTAATACTTTCAACAGTAAAGATAAATTTTTTAAAAAAAGAATAAGCTGTAGGCGTAAGTTTTATTATCTTAATGGAAGTAAGATGGGAAACCATTGGAGGATTTTGGGAAGAGGGGCACATTTACGTTTTAACAGAGTCACTCTTATTGCTGTTATAAGACTACAGACAATAGTACAGTGAAGGCCTGGGGATGGGGTGGGAGCTGGGTGGAAGGGGTCAATGAAAAAAAGGGACATCTGTAATACTTTCAACAGTAAAGATAAATTTTTTAAAAAAAGAATAAGCTGTAGGCGTAAGTGAAGGCTCTTGTCATAATCATGTAAGAGAGGGTGGAGACTGGGGTAAGGACGTGGGCACTGGAAGTAGTGGTTACGGATATATTTGGGAGGATTTGCTGATGGCTTGAGTAGGTGTAGGTTATGAAGAGAAAGAGAGTAATCAATAATGTCTTCCAGATTTTACCTGTGAAATGGTAAAGTAGAGCTATCTTATACTAAAATAGTAAAGACTGAGGGGAATAAAGATTTGGGGCAGGGGTAGAAGGTAGGGCAGGAATCAAGAGTGTGTTTTGGACATGTTTGATAGATCTATTACACATCCTAAGCAGGAGATGTTGAATAGACAATTGGCAAATAAACCTACACTGGCATAAGAATTCTGGGCTGGAGATTTGGTAATCATCAGCTTATGGGTGGTAATTTAAGGCCTTTGGATTGTATGGCATCACCTAGGATAAAGGACTGATCTTTTTGAATTGCAGAATAAAGAGAAATAACTTGCAAAATCTATTATGGTATTAAATAAAAAATTAAAACTAGTAATATAAAATTCTGGTTCTTAAGTCTTACTATTTTGTTGGCTACAAAAACTATTACAAACAAATTGTGTTCGGTGTGCCTGATATTTTTTAAAGTTCTAAGATGAATATACTTTATACAACTGAATACTAGTGAACATTTTTAGTTTCTGGCAAGTTCTACCTATATAAATATCACCTTGAAAATTAATTTTACCAGAATTTGAGCTTCAGTATTTCTTTAGTCCCATTTTAAAGTCCAAAAGAATACAACGTACAGGAGATATCAAGAGTTGAGTCTATGCGTTTATATTTATGACATCAAAATAAACATATTAGGGAAATAAAGTCAGAGACCTTATAGTCAATATATTAGGGAAATAAAGCCAGAGACCTTATAATCAATAAAAATAAATCTGAATATATTGAACTTTCCTGAATGTTAATCTTTTGAAACCAAATTGTTTAAAATTTAGTATTTTGATAATTATGAAATAATGTTAAAAATCACACTTTAGACGTTCCTAGATTTTAGATATTGGTGCTCTTAATTTTCTTTATTCAAATGTATCAGATTGATTGAATTTTGCAGCTATTCTCTCAGTACGTAAATACAATCCAGGGGACTCTAGAGAGCTATCTATGTTTAGCCAGTTAAGTCAATTTATATCCACTTAGCATTTTCAGATAAAAATCACATACCTGTCAGTGAGGATATCTGTAGGTTGTTTTCCAGATTAAATGAGAGAATGAATCTAATTAGCATATTATACTTTTATTATTATAGATTTAAAATTCTATTGCTACTCATTTATTTGGTGATAAAAACACATAGTTGACACACTTATACAGATTGATGGTGCATGGTGTGTGTGTGTGCACACACTTCACAATATTACCAAGGATGAAAATTAAGAAAATATAAGTAAGAACTTTTACCAAGAATGCTTATACCTATATCTTAAAGAAAGATACAAAATAAAATTCAAACTGAGAAGGTAAATTTGGTGTTCTTTTATGAATTTCAAGAGTATTATCTAGGTGGGGTGGATGGAGGTCAGTGAGGTTTGAAAAGGGGGAACATCTGTAATACTTTCAACAATAGAGATAAATTAAAAAAATAATAAAGTAATGACATTTGGTGGGGGGGGGGGGGGCTTAGGGGGCGCAGAATATTATCTAGGACACAGGTTGTACTGAGAAGATACCTGTGACAGGACCAAAATTTTCATTAAAAGAAAAAAGCAAAATAATTTCCTTAAGTTTTACAAAACACAATTAAATGAGGAATTAAGGTACCAAAGTTCTAAACCCTGAAATAAGACCATAATGAAACTAACTACAGTTTTTTAAAAGTTTCTAATTTCAATAAAGAGCTCTCAGACTATCTAATTTTAAGGAATGGCATTTTCTGGTGAGCCCCTTCCAAGACATTGGTTTCACAAATCTTGAATGATGTTATTTCCTAGAAGTGTTTGACTCTAAGCTAATTATATGTTAAGAATGTCTTGTCAAAAATGACTATTTGGACTTTAGAATACTTTATTTTGGGCATGGTAAAATACACATAAATAAATTTTACCATTTTAGCCATTTTAAGACATTTTTCATCTTTCCATGCTACAACTCCTGTACCCATCCTATCTAATAAAGAGGGAATATGCTAATTGACCCTCACACCATCGCAAAGATGGCAGCACCCACAGCCAATAAGGAGGGAATATGCTAATTGAGTGCCCCGACCTCAAAGATGGCGGCACCCACAGCCAATAAGGAGGGAATATGCTAATTGAGTGCCCCGACCTCAAAGATGGCGGCACCCACAGCCAATAAGGAGGGAATATGCTAATTGAGTGCCCCGACCTCAAAGATGGCGGCACCCACAGCCAATAAGGAGGGAATATGCTAATTGAGTGTCATGCCCTCAAAGATGGCGGTGCCCACAGCCAATAAGGAGTGAATATGCTAATTGACTGCCACACCCTCAAAGATGGCAGCACCCACAGCCAGAAGATGGTGGCGCCCAGTCCCCTCAGCCCCCCAGCCTCCCAGGGCCAGCCGAGACTTAGGTAACCAGGGCCAGCTGAGGCTTGCGCTGCCGGCAGTGGTAGCAGCAGAGGTGTGATGGGGGCATCGCCTTACCCTGATCGCCGGGTCACCTCCTGCCCCTGGGGGCTTTCAAACTGTGAGAGGGGGCAGGCCAGGCTGAGGGACCCCCCCACCCTCCAGTGCATGAATTTTTATGCACCGGGCCTCTAGTCCTATATAATAAAAGGCTAATATGCAAATAGACCGAATGGCAGAATGACTGGTCACTATGACGCGCACTGACCACCAGGGGGCAGATGCTCAACACAGGAGCTGCCCCTTGGTCAGTGCACTCTCACAGGGGGAGCGCCGCTCAGCCAGAAGCCAGGCTTATGGTTGGCAAGCACAGTGGCAGTTGTGGGAGCCTCTCCTGCTTCCGCGGCAGCACTAAGGATATCCGACTGCTGGCTTAGGCCCGCTCTTTGAGTCCCTGCCTTTAATCTTTTTGGGTAACTTCCCAGAAGTGGAATTGTTGGTTCATATGGTAATTCTGTTTTTAAGTTTTTGGGGTTTTTTGAAGAACCATCATGAATATTTTCCATAGTGCACAGGGTTCTATTTTCTCCACATCATCTCCAACACTCAGTATTTTCCATTTCTTTGTTTGTTTTGCTAGTAGCTATTCTGTTGGGTTTGAAGTGGTATCTCATAGTTTTTATTTGCATTGCTTTAATGATTAGTGATGCTAAGAATCTTTTCGTGTTTTTATTGGCTATACAGTCATCTTTTTTGTAGAAATGCCCATTCATGTTTTTTGTTCATTTTAAATTGGGTTTTTGTTGTTGAATTGTAATTCTTTATTTATATTCTGGATATTAATCTCTTATCAGATTTATGATTTATAAATATTGTCTTTCATTTTGTGAGTTGCCTTTTCACTCTGTTCATAGTATTTTTAATGTACAAAAGTTTTTAATTGTGATGTAGTCGAATTTATGTATTTTTTCTTTTGTTGCCTCTGCTTTAGGATATTCTTTCTGATAATAAGAAAGCAGAGCCATTTGCCCTATTAACAATACTCAGACATAATCTTTGATAATAGGAAATTTTTACCAGCTTAGGGAATACTTATCTTTTTATTCTTAGAAGCAGAGGACAAGTTTCTGGGTCATTAAGATCCAAATTTAAAATGGGATGTCAGAGGAAAACAAAATGCATTGTAGTAACCCTGGCCATGAACCTTTGTTTTGGTGAAGTAGAACAGTATTGTAAGAGCATTGATAACCAGATATCTGTCAGGAAACCTTCCCGAACCCTTGTTTATTCCTCTTCTCCAATACCACTTACGAGGGGCCTTCCTTGACCACTCTTGGATGTCTCCAACTTCAATTCTGGTTTTCTCTCATCCCTTTTTCTTTTTTAAATTCATAACCTTTTTTACAACTGGACATTGTTATTTATTTGCTTAGTTACCATGTCTTTTCTCTGTTTTGTTCACTGCTGACTTTCCAGTGCTTAGAACAGTACTCTGTGAGTCTTTGAATTAATAGAGCAGTCTCTATTGAACATCTTGTAGTTTGTCTGTCTCTAAAATCTCAAAAAGTTAGAGGCGATTCTCAGAGTGAAATAGTTGATCAATGTGACTCTTTCACTTCCATTCATATACTTTTCACCCCATTATCTTATAATATTAATTATTTTCTATTGTAGACTCCCATTTTAGTATTGTGCCACTTATGACATACTATAAAGTAGGTTAAATATTTGAGTGCCTAGGGTTAGGCACTGTTTTAAGCCATGCATGGGTGTTGAAACTTTTACATCTTAGGTTTGATTTAAATTATTTTGGTACCAACAATTTTAACAGAGGAAATTATTTTCATTTAAAGATGGGATTCATGAGTCAAGCTGTATTTATAAAGATATGTGAGTTTAAGTTTTTCCTTAGATTTAACCTAATGTGAACTTTTTTTCAGATATTTTCTAAATTTGGCACAGTCTTGAAAATTATCACCTTTACAAAGAATAATCAGTTTCAAGCCTTGCTTCAGTATGCTGACCCATTGAATGCACAGTATGCCAAAATGGTAATTATTAACTTTTTTCATTTTTCAGTTGTTAATCAGTCACTTCAGTGATACCAAAGGAAGCCTTCATGTCTTCTCCCTTGCTCCCATTTACCATGTGTTTTTTAATTGTAGTAAGATAAACATAATATAAAAATTATCATTTTCAAATATACTGTTTCATATGCTCTTTTTTATAACAAGCTAAAAATTACTTTCTTCATATGAAATGGTTTCAAAGCACCTATTATAGCTCAAGATCTCTGGGACTCATTTCTGTTTGTCATATTTGAAGTCTAACATTGAGCACAGTGCTCCTGATATAATCTAACTAATAAAGTAAAATTATCCTTGCCCTTATGCTTTCATTTACTTCTATTAAATTATCCAAAGATTGATTTCACTATTTTTACAACTGTATTTCTTGTTGAATGTTATGAGCTCTGAATTGGTGAATACATTAAATCTTAGGAAACCTGCTGTGTCAACTCATAGTCTTTTTTTTTTTTTTTAGTTCATGAGTGCTTGATTGTTGACAAGATATAAAATTTCACAGTTTGGTTATATTTGACCCATCTCCTGTTGAGATCTTACATCTCTAACCAGAATTCTATCTTACATCAGTGTCTGAATTGTTTCTGAATTCTTTTCAAAGATAGGGATAAAGTTAGTTGTACTTTTTTGTACCACACAGTGTCTACCTCTTGATTAGGAATATAGCCTTTATATTTGTACCCTCTACCTCCACATACATGTAATTTTGTGCCTTTATAGTGGCATACTCATCTATAAACTATTATAAGTCAGGGTTTTTTGTATATTTTTGTCTCGGTTTCTGATATTTGATAAATTTTGGCATTTGTACATAAGTCAGAAGTGACTACAAATATTCCTTTGGTAAATTTTTAGTATTATGAAGGAGGAGGGATTACTGATTTTTAGTCTTGTTCCAGAACTGACTTCAAATTTCCCTCAGTTTATTATTTATTTATTTTTATTTATTTACTTATTTTGTTAATCCTCACCCAGGGATATTTTTTCCCATTGATTTTTATTTTATTTATTTTTAATATATATTTTTATTGATTTCAGAGAGGAAGGGAGAGGGAGAGAGATAGAAACATCAGTGATGAGAGAGAATCATTGATTGGCTGCCTCCTGCACGCCCCCGACTGGGGATCGAGCCCACAACCCAGGCATGTGCCCTTGACCCGAATCAAACCTGGGACCCTTCAGTCCGCAGACCAGCTCTCTATCCACTGAGCAAAACCGGCTAGGGCCTATTGATTTTTAGAGGAGTGGAAGGAAGGGGGAGAGACAAAGAGAAGTGTCGCTGTGAGAGAGAGACATCCATTGGTTGCCTAATGCTCGCTCCTTGCCTGGGGCGGGGGTGTCTAGCCCGCAATTGAGGTACATACCCTTAACCTGGAATGGAACCCGAGACCCTTCAGTCCTTGGGTGGATGCTCTAACCTCTGAGCCAAATCGACTAGGGCCCTCAGCTTGTTACTCAAAGTGCTAAAAAATAAATTTATAAGAGAAGAAAATATGATAGATATTTCATGTATTGCTTTTCTAATAAGTACCATTTAGAAAGGCTTTATTTTATCTTAACCTTTATAAACTATACTAAACTATACTCATTCTTTAAAAAGAATTAAAATGAAGTGTAAAAATATCTGTAAACATTTTTTGTGGACAAAATAATCATAATATCAGCTAATACAATGTACAGTAATGCATAATAGTTTTCCAAGCCTTTACATTCCCTCTCTAATTTGATCTTTACCAGAGACAAGATAGAGATTATTATCCTTATTTTACAGATGGAAAAACTACAGTTAGACATTTTCTTTTTCTCTCTTAGGTGCACATAGTGACAGAGGTAAAAGTAAATAAAGGTCTTTGGCTTTTAATCCAGTGCTCTCTGCTTTATACCTGATAGCCATTCTCTGTCAAAGTAGAGACTACTTGATTTATCAGTGTTGTTGTCTTGCAAAACATCAGTCCCTTTCTTACATGCTTTAGGCACTGGATGGCCAGAATATCTATAATGCATGCTGCACTCTGCGTATTGACTTCTCCAAGCTTACCAGCCTTAATGTGAAATATAATAATGACAAAAGCAGAGACTTCACTCGCTTAGACCTTCCTACTGGTGATGGCCATCCATCCCTTGAATCCCCTATGGCTGCTGCTTTTGGTGAGTAGTTCTGTTTTGGGTCACAAAGCAAGTTTTCCGAAGTTACACATTTCATTTATTAATCCATGTTATGTCAATTAGCGTTTTTCTTCTTATATTCTCCCAGGTTTTCTAAAAGATAGCAAGGATCATAGAACAAAATTTGTCGATTAATTAAATTTTAATACTTGTAGATTCTATTAGTTGGCAAAACAAGTAAATATCTAACATTGAGAATTACAGATTTATTTTCTAACGTAAATATTATTCATTCTCTATCAACCATTCAACAGTGTACTTCAAATTAATAGTCTTTTACATATTAACATTAGTTTAAATATGTTGGTTTATAGCCAACAGAATATTGGCTTAAGTGCTCCTGAGAGAAATCCTTTTTTAAGTAGTGATATATTAAAACAAGGATCTAAATTAGTGGTATGTTCTTCCTTTATTCAAACAAAAGTTTTTATTTTGTTTTGTTTTTTAAACATCAGAACTTCCATCTTTACCTTAAGTTTGTGGGAAGTTGCATTTTTACATTAATAAAAATAGTCTTCTGAATTATCTCTGTAAATGTTGCTCTGAAGGGCTTCCTCCTTTTATTTAAAACTAGTTCTCAATACATTTATACGTACTTTTTAAATAAAACTTTATGTTAAGGAAAAAGCAGTGGATGGCCCGGTTGGATATATCACTAGGTTAATGTGTGCTACTTTTTGGATTTGCAACTTTTCTAAGTGTGGTTTATATTTAGATAAAGTAATAATTGTATTACCCTTTGTGATTTCCCCAAATGACACCATAAAATACTGTTTATTGAGACCTTAAGTGATATTTGTTCTATCTTCATTTCACAGAGAAGAACAAAAACAAGTCTTATTAGCCAAATGGTTGTCTAAAATTCTCGAGAAAATACTTTGTAACTTTTATTTTTCTTTTCTTTTCTTTTTTAAATATATTTTATTGATTTTTTACAGAGAGGAAGGGAGAGAGAGTTAGAAACATCGATAAGAGAGAAACATTGATCAGCTGCCTCCTGCACACCTCCTACTGGGGATGTGCCCGCAACCAAGGTACATGCCCTTGACTGGAATCGAACCTGGGACCTTTCAGTCTGCAGGCTGACACTCTATCCACTGAGCCAAACCGGTTAGGGCTGTAACTTTAATTTTCAAGTATAAAAGCCCTTTGTTCTTTATAACTGAAAAAAAAAGTCGAGTGAACTGTTAAGTTCATGTTCCTAAAGTTGTTGAAGTTTCTGTTTTGGTCTGACCAATTTTTGTGTTTTATTTGTTACCAGCCTTTACTTACATGTCTGATTCTGCAGAGCCAAAGGTCTTTGTAATTATTGTTTCAATCACACATGATAGAAATTGAGGTTATCATTCAAGTTTGCCAAAACTGGCTGTCAAGTGCAGAACTACACTTACTCCAATAACAGAATATATACTGTTGGTGTAATTAATGTTCTGCATTGTGAAAAAAGGACATTTAAAAAATACAATTAAGAATTTTGGTTTCTGAATATAGTGTCAGAATGTTAACATCCTTTTTCATTGTGTTAATAAATTCATAGTCGTTGCAAAGTGATGCCTACATCCTAAGATAAGTGATTCATCCGAGAACAATGCTTTTTTATGTATTGTGTGGAAGTTTACTATTCCCTTTTTTCTCTCGGCTTCTGAAACACCACACTCTTGACCTTTTTCCTACCTCAGTGTGTTCTTTCTCTTTTTTAAAGGTTGACATTTAAAATTTCTAGGGTTACGTTTTAAGCACTTTGTCCCAGTTTTTAGTGATACTTACAGGGTCGTACAAAGGTGGGTTTGCAGTTGTTCATATGGAAAATAATACAATAATTAATAAATAATGATACAAGAATAAACTGTTTTGTGTACTCACAACTGTAAACCAACTTTTGCCCCACCCTGTATTTTATCAATAGAAAAGCTTATGAGACATGTAAATATATTTTAATACTTATGTAATTGTTACATAGGTTAAAAAATCAAATATTTATACATACCGAAGAAGCACTCTTTGTACCCTTCTCATTAATTGTGCTCCCAGTCTAAAGATAATCAGTCTAAAATTTTATGATAATCATTCTTTTGCTTCTTAGCTTTTTGTTTTTACTTTGTTGTTGTTTTTACTATTTATTATGCAGCCCTAAGTGCTAATTTAAAAAAATGTCTTTTTCTATATTTAGAACCTTACATAAATGGAATTATGCTATTTGTTTTTTGTGTGTGTGACTTGTGAGTCATTCATATTTATATATGTGACTGTTGCTTATTCATTCTCAATACTGTCAAGTGTATAGATTCCCATTGTGTGAATATACCACAGTTGTGTTTATCCATTCTATTGTGGATAGACATTTGGGTTATTTTAGTTTGAGGCCATTATGACCAATGCTGCTCTTGATTAAGGAGGTTGAACATATTTTTATTTGTTTATTGGTCATTCTCCCTTATGAATTTGTCTATCTCTTTTGCCTAATTTTATGTTTGGTTTATTGCTTTTTCTTGTTTATTTGTAGGATTTTTTTTTTAATCTCTCAAACACTTTTTTGGTTATATGTGTTAGTTATATGCATTTCTTTTATTTTTGGCTTTATAGTATTTTTATGTAATCAGATTTATTTGCCAGTTTCTTTATGTTTGTGTTTTTTGTGTCTTGTATAAGAAATCTTTTGTTGCCCTGACATCATAAAGCTATATACTTCTATTCTAAAATTTATAGTATTTTAGTAACTTTGTTTTGAAATAATTTACGTTGCAAGAATAGTACAAAGAATTGCCTTATATCATTCATTCATATTCCTCAGTTATTAATATCATGCCACATGTGCTTTATCGTCTCTCTGAGTGTGAGTGTGTGTGTAAGTAGGTAGGTAGGTTTTTTACCCCCCTGAGTCACTGGAGAGTAAGTTGCAGGCATAATGCCCCTTTACTTCTAAATACTCATTGTGTATTTTCTAAGAACAAGGTCATTCTTACCTAAATAGAGTTAAGTTATCAAAACCAGGAAATTAACATTCATACACTACTATTATCTAATCCATAAACCTTTTAAATTTTTGACAGTTGTGAAAATAATGTTCTTTTATAAGAGAATTTTTTCTGGTAAAGATCCAAACCAGTATCAGGCCTAATTTATTTGTCATATCTTTTTAGAGTCCTTTAATTTGGAACACTTCTTTGTCTTCCATGACCTTTTCATTTTTTAAGAGTTCAAGTCGGGTATTGTGTAGAATGTCTCTTAATATGAGTTTGTGGGGTTTTTTGCTGAAATAATGTGTCTTTCTCAGTTTATTATGTCAAGAGACACATGATGCCAGTTTATTCTATTCTTGGTGATAGTAACTTTGGTCATATGGGTGAGGAAGAAACTTCCCTTTTCCCTCAAAGTCCTTCCAGCTGGTCTAATAATCAAATCTACGTGAGGCAAATTAGCAAGAAATAACAGCCAGATGTAAGTGCACACAGGGGAGCCCCCACATTCATGATAGAGTGAGAGACCCCACATACATGAGAGGTTCAAAGACAGAAAGAGGAAATGAGGTATATATGAACAAATGAGGCAATATGACATTCTGCCTTGGGGCTTCAGAAGGGAGGAAGGTCATCGCAGGGCAATAGAGCGGATGTGAATTCAGTAACTAGTAGTTTGCCCTGCCATATAGGTAGATCATAAAATGTTATTTAATTCTTATTATATGCAAGGCCTCTAATTTAAATTTTTCTAGGGAGTTCAATGGTGGCAGAAGTTTCTCTTGAGTCTGCAGGGTCTCTGTTGCCTTGATCTCAGAATAACCTGCATACCATAGAGGCATGTCTTGAACCCCTACAAGCATTTATTAAAGTGGTTTCTGACAGGTTTCTTTTGGGGTTTGTTATTATAAATAACAATGATAAACTGATTTCAATGCTGTCTGTTAATTTATCTGGCCTTAATTGCTATTTTGGGTCTACATTTTCCAAATGCAAAATATCTATTCTTAATCATCCAAATCTTAGAACTTTTCCTTAAAGATTTGTATAAACTTTTCATAAAGATACTAACATATTGTCCAACAGATTACTTTGCTAAAATGTTTTTTGTTTCTGCTTATTTGAGGAGCACAGATTTATGGAAACTTAAATAATTCTTTTTTCAAATTTTAACAGATATCCTTATTAATCATTATATTCTACTGGGAAACAATTATTTAAATTTTGACCCTGATAATTGGTTGCCAGTTCTTGTATTTATCACTATTTTATGTTCTGTGATAGTTATCTCAAAATTTTCCTCATTTTTCTAAAACCTACTGCTGTCTGACTCATACCCCTCTCAGTAGGCATCTGTACTGGCCACTTTGTTGTGTTTGAAAAGAATATCTCTTGTCCCCCCAAATCTCTGGATTTACAGCAATTAACATTTATTTCTCTCATAGCATCAACACTTAGGCAGCTGTGAATCTGCTTTTGCAACCTTCATTCATATACCTTTGTGATCCAGGGCTTGGGCTGAAGAAGTCACTCCATTGGAGACATGCATTCTTATGGCAGAAAGTAAAAATAAGAGAGCTGTTTACACTATAATGCCTCTTAAAACTTCTATACAGAGGCAGCATGTCTGTGTGTTCCTATGACATGATCAAATGCAGTGGGAATTGCGTAGAAATGCATGCTCCTCCAACAGGAGGCACTGCAAGTCACATGGAAGGGGCAAGTGAATATTTGGCAACAGTAATAAAATGTACCACATTTCTTCTTTTTTTAAAAAATATATTTTATTGATTTTTTACAGAGAGGAAGGGAGAGGGATAGAGAGTTAGAAACATCAATGAGAGAGAAACATCGATCAGCTGCCTCCTGTACACTCCCTACTGGGGATGTGCCCGCAACCAAGGTACATGCCCTTGACCGGAATCGAACTTGGGACCCTTGAGTCCACAGGCTGACGCTCTATCCATTGAGCCAAACGGTTAGGGCTGCCATATTTCTTCTTATGTTTAACTTTGTATTGTAAATTTTTATAATTACTCATATCCATATTGAAGTCCCTTTGTTGTCTTTCTTTATGCCTTGACTATAGTTATTCTGTTGTAAAGATGAATCATTTTACCTTTGATCTTCGGTTGACTGGAATGTAAGTTTAGCAAGGGCAGAGATTCTTGTCTGCTTTGTTCAGTGCTTCCTTAGTGCTAGATAGGCTTGGCTCATAATATGCTTTCAATAAATATGCTTCCCTTCTAATTACATCAGTTATTCTGTCATTTATTTTGTGTTTTCAGTTCTCTCTGCTAGCTCTACCTCTGAAGTCTCAATAACTATATTTTCTTGAATTATTTTAATAAATCACAGCAATATATTCAACTAATTCTGTTAAATCTCTTTCATGAAGAAAATAAACTTACATAAGCTTTTAACTCCTCTGGAAAATACAGCCTATATTCTTCTATAAATATATTCATCACCCTATTATTAAAAAACAAAACCCTCCCTTTGGCTCTCACAATCTAACTTTTCATTGCTGCTCTAAAACTGTTCTTTATCTTTCACATTTCTCATTCTTTTTAACCTCTGTTGAACCCCTTCTCCAAAATAACTTTGATTCTCTAGATCCCGAAGAACTAGAATTCACTTTTTTTCCTAGTTCGAAGGCTGGTGTTTTTTTTCTCTTTTAGAATGTCCCTCTTCTTTCCTCTGCTATTTAAGTGTACCAATTGATATTCCCAGGTTTTGTTTTTAGCTCTCTTAGTTTTTTTGTCGTGTGCCCTTTTCAGTGGGACTCTCATTCATTCGGCTTCATTTATTTCTACGTAGATGATTTATAAATCTCTGTTTATTGTTATTCTGTTTGCCCCCTCGTTTCCACTGTTGGACATTACCATTTGAAGGTTTTTACCTCCACCTTGACATGTCCAAAACCAAATTGTTTTCCTATTAATACTGACTCCTCCATTGGAACTAAGTCCTGTTTTTGTTGATGATGCATAGTCACCAGGTTTCTGAAAGGAAAGGTACCAGCATTTGTTTAGCATCTAGTGCACACTAACCACTGTGCTTTTCAATGCATAATGCCTAGCTCAAGTTTTACCTCCTGAGAAACCTTCTCCAAAAAATCACAGTGAATCCTCTGTGATCCTTTCTTCTTAGACCACTTGTAATGCATTTGTATTTAAACCACTAGATCCTCAGCATATGAATCTCCTCAAATTAAATGTTTAGTTTGTAAACCTCTCAGAGGCAAGGATTTGTATTTCATATTTCCTTTTTATCAATTCAGTACCCCATAGGTATACAACCCAATAAGTTTTTATTGACTTTTACATAGAAACAATCCTTTAAATAAGGGCAAGAATTTCAACCTAAATAACAAACTAATAACTCAAAACTAAGTAACAGCTAAGCTGTACTCTACACCTTGAACTCAGTTGAAAGGGGTTCGCCTCTGGAAGTGGCAGAGACTCTACATTAGCGATCACCTATTGAATAAATTTTTACTTTACAACAGAATTCTTTATCAACAATATGCCCTTATATAGCCATTTTATATTGCTTTGATAACCATATTTATAGAAGGTAATATATTTATTTTAGCTTCTCTTTTCCATTAGGTGCACCAGGTATAATTTCCTCACCATATGCAGGGGCTGCTGGATTTGCCCCAGCCATTGGATTTCCTCAAGCTACAGGTGATTTTTTTCAAAGTTCAGTTTGAAATGATTTTTTCTGATGTCCTATATTTTTGGTAGAGTGGAAGGGAATGGGCAGAGGAGGGTGTCAAAGGGGAGGGAGAGGGAGAGAAACATTGATAGGTTACCTCCTGCACACGCCCTGACACATTTTCTTCTTTATTTATTTTGCTTTTGTCTTTATTTATTTATCAAGTGTTGTAATCTTCAGATAACTAAAATGTGAAATGCTTTTGATGTTTTAAAAAGGTCTGTCAGTCCCAGGTGTTCCTGGAGCTCTTGGTCCTCTCGCACTCACCTCCTCTGCTGTCACTGGAAGGATGGCCATTCCTGGGGCTGGTGGTATACCAGGAAATTCTGTTCTGCTTGTCACCAATCTCAATCCTGATGTGAGTTGGAAAGCATTGTAACATAGTCTTTCAGAAGAGGTCTGTAGTCGCTTCTGATCTAGAGTTGTATTCAAATAAATTTTAAGTTTATTTTAAGAATATTTATTAAAATTCATCACTAGTATATATAGAGGAAGTATATAAAGTAAATGCTTTAAACAAAGTCAACTGTTATTATTACAAGTAAACTTATTTTAAAGTTTTACGTATATTAGTCAGACACCTGTATTTTGTATTATCCTTTCAGCTTATCACACCACATGGGCTGTTTATCCTATTTGGTAAGTTTCTTTTTTTTCTATTTTTAGTATTATCTATGATATGGATTGAATACATTTCATCATTCAGTAATATTTATTGACTGTCTCTATGTGCCAAGTAGTGTGTTTGACACTGAAGATAGAGTATTAGTAAGTAATTACAATAAAATTTTATTTAAAAAGGGAATGTATAGCTGGGAGTCCTAACCTAGCTGAGGGAATCAGAGATGGTATGCCAAGAGAAATTATAGTTAAAACTGACTTGTGAAAAATCATAAGCATTAACCAGGCAGAAAAAGGAGGGCAAGTATTCTTTCACAGGCATTAGCAGTGAGAGAGCGTCTGGAGCAGGGAAGTGAAGGAAGTCCAATGGAGAGTATAAGGGACAGACATGTTGAAGCTGTACACGTGGGTGGGACACATCATGAAGAGCTTGTAAGCTAAATTATGGAGCTTGGTTTTAACCTAAGAACCATGGGAAACCATTGAATAGTTTTAAGCAGGAGAGAGTAATTATGAGCTTTAGGTTTTACTAATTTCCAAACTTTCCAATAGTGTTTTTCTCAGTTAAAAAAAATCTAGCACAGCCCTAGCCGGTTTGGCTCAGTGGATAGAGCGTCGGCCTGAGGCCTGAGGACTGAAGGGTTTCGGGTTTGATTCCGGTCAAGGGCAGGTGTCTGGCTTGCAGGCTCAGTCCCCAGTGGGGGGCATGCAGGAGGAGCTGATTAATGATTCTCATCATTGATGTTTTATCTCTCTCTCCCTCCCCCTTCCTCTATGAAATCAATAAAAATATATTTTAAAAAAAATTTAGCACATACTCCTAATTTATATATGACTCATTATTCATACACTTCATCCATATTCACTGTAATCATTATATATAGTGTAATATCTACAAATATATGAGCAATTACATAAGCAGTATTTAATATCTTAAAGATTTTTTATTAATGGTGAAACTTTTTCATAAAAACTTTTTCATTAACATTTAGTGAGAAATATGATATAATATGCTTCATTATTTTCAGAAATCTTTTTTATTTTCATTCAATATTCTAAGGTCTGATTCTAAATTCACTTTATTTTAGTACTTGATCTTAATGGTTGTCAAACTGAAAAAGAAACCTCATAAATAAATGGAAGTGTTTCATTGTTGCTATATCTAATTATGATACTAATTTTTCAGTTTAATTCACTAATTTTTGTTGTACTTTGAAAAATTCAATTTTTCCTCTTGTTAAATTAGTTGATCTTGAAACTATTGCATGAGAATATTTTTAACAAATGGAGTTAAAACTCACTTCCATTTAGAAGAATTTTTAATACAATAAAAAATTGTTGTAAATTTTTTGAGTGGATAATAGGTGTTTTAAGCTGTGTTTTTGGGGTGTCATTTATAGGTACACAGCAATACGGAATTGTGCAGTCATTATTATCAAAGCCCAGTTTTAGAACATTTTGATCATCCCACGGAGATCTTCCATGCTCATTTGCAGTAAAAGTTTTTATTGATGACACATTTCTGTTTTCAGTAATGAAATCATGTATTAATGATACATTTTTATATCTCTTTAATAGTCCAAGCACATTTCTTTCTAAAAGTAGTTAATTTCTCACTCATTTAAAAAAATATCACCCTCAGCTTGAAGAACAAATTGTGTGTGGGGGATTGTTTTTAAAAAAGTAATAGCTATTTCAGCCACTTGTCATTTCTGAAAAGAACAGAAAATTGGAATAATCTTTTTGTTTTAAACTTTAAAAGTACCACTCATCTCTAAGTTCAGTTGCTCTTAGGTGCTTGCCCACAAGATAATCAGCACTCCTTTGTGTGCCTTGATAATTTCCATAGTCGTTTTCATCACATTACAAAGTATGGTAATGATGCAACTACTTAAGGGTCTTATTTTGGTAACATTGGTGATACCTATTAGCACATAAACTGCAGTATATTTTAATATGCTGAATGACAAAAAGGAGACAATGTCCTTTATATTACAGAAACTTCTGCCTATAATTTTATATATATGTTAAAAATTAGTAAAATGTAGTGTTTCATATTGGTTTTATATATAAACAAACCTGTGTTTAAAAAAGTTTATTTTCCTTCCACACCCCAATGAATCATTTTGCCTGTTCTTTGGGATGTAGGACCCAGTATGGGGAACACCAGTGTAGAAAACTTGGATGTAAAAGATCAATTAGGAGGCTGTTGTGATGATAGCTTTGATGGTAATGAGGATGGAAGGAAGTAGGCAAATGTGAGAGATATTTAGACCATAAAACCAATCAGTGCTGGTGATGGATTGAATGTAAGAATTTAAGAAAAGGCCTGGCCGGCGTGGTACAGTGGTTGAGCATCGACCTATAAACCGGGAGACCACGGTTCAATTCCTGGTCAGGTCACAGGCCCGGGTTGTGGGCTTGATCCCCAGTGTGGGGCATGCAAGAGGCAGCCAATCAATGATTCTCTCTCATCATTGATGTTTCTATCTCTCTCCCTCTCCCTTCCTCTCTGAAATCAATAAAAATATATTTTAAAAAAAGAATTTAAGAAAAGGAAATCAAAAGCTGAATCCCAAGTGTCTGACTAGAGTAAGTATTTAGATGATGGTAATAACTATGAACAGAGTTTGTGAACACTGAAGTAGGAAGAGGAAAGGGGAGATCCGGAACATAGAAGGGATACAAATTTGGGAGCATGTGTATGAAATAGCTCAGGGAATATATACAGGGTCGGGCAAAAGTAGGTTTATAGTTGTTCATATGAAAAATAATACAATAATCCTATATAATAAAAGGCTAATGTGCAAATTGTCCCCTCAACTGGGAGTTTGGCCAGGGAGTGGGGCCGGCCCACCAACTGCCCGCAGCCCCTCCTCCTGACCTGCCCTGCCCCCGATTGGCCCCCCTCACCCTGATCAGGGGCTGGCCGACCAGCCAACCTCCCTTGTGCCCTCCCCCCGGCCAGCCTGACCCGATGGGCCCCCATCAGGGCAGGCCAGCCAGGCCCCACCTGTGCATGAATTCGTGCACTGGGCCTCTAGTTAATAAATAATAATACAATCATAAACTGTGTTTCATGTACTCACAATTGTGAACCTACTTTTGCCCCACCCTGTATAATAAGGGGGAAAAAAACTTCTTTAAATGTATTTGTAAATACTACATAGATATTAAAAATTGTTTTGTTTTGTCTTTTTATTTAGGAGTATATGGTGATGTACATCGAGTGAAGATTATGTTTAATAAGAAAGAAAATGCTTTGGTTCAGATGGCAGATGCAAATCAAGCTCAGCTAGGTACTGATGATTAATAGTAATAACAGTGGTGACCTCCCCCTTTTTATGTGTATTTTTCTATAAAATGAGCAAACTTACAGCTAGTAGGAATATACTTTACCAAAAAGTATTTCTTTGTGGTAGTATCTTCATTATTTGTATCTGCTTATGTTTTATAAAGATTAAAAATATTTATTACTCTTTGAAGTTCGTTTTCTACTTGTTGCTATTTAGAAATTTGACTCTAGGGTTTTTCTGTAAGTTTAAACTATTAAACATCACTTGCTTTGTTTAATTTTATTATATTTTATTATTTATTTGTTTTTATTCCAAATTAAGTTTTCTAGAACGGTTGCATGGCATAAAAGTTTGGGCAAACTTCGTAATGATGGCACACGACAGTGTCATTCTATGGCCTCTCTGTTCATTGTTATAGTGGCTATTTAAAATGTTACTACTTGGAACTTTTATAAAAAATACTTTGCTTGAGATTAAACTAATTTATTCAGTAACCGTTTCCTGAACACTTGTTATGTTCCAGGCACTCTGGAACTTCCTAGGAAGAGAGTTGTTTTTTGTTTGACTGCTTTTCTTTTGTTATTGTAAAATAAATTATCTAACACATTTCTATATGTAAGAGTTTTAAAATTTAAAACCATTTTAACCCACAAACTGACAATATAATTTTAAATGACTAAATAAAAAGATTTTATGATAATTTAGACAAATTTTATAGAGGCTCTATCTTAATACCCAAACTTTCCTTATTTTCTTCCTATGCATCAGCAATGAACCATCTGAATGGTCAGAGACTTTATGGAAAAGTGCTCCGTGCTACACTGTCCAAACATCAGGCAGTTCAACTTCCTCGAGAGGGACAAGAAGACCAAGGTCTGACTAAGGATTTTAGTAATAGTCCTTTGCATCGCTTTAAAAAGCCTGGCTCTAAAAACTTCCAGAATATTTTTCCACCGTCAGCCACTCTGCATCTTTCCAACATCCCGTATGTACCTAATTAGTTATTATCCTACTGTTGGTTAATAATTAATATAATGATTATTATAAACAATATGTTTTAGGGGAGGTAAAAACTCTGAAATTAGCCCTAGCTGGTTTGGCTCAGTAGATAGAGCGTCGGCCTGGGGACTGAAGGGTATCAGGTTCAGTTCCAGTCATGGGCACATGCCCAGGTTGCGGACTCAGTCCCCAGTGGGGGGGTGTGCAGGAGGCAGCCGATCAATGATTCTCTCATCATTGATGTTTCTCTCTCTCTCTCTCTTTCTCTCTTTCTCTCTCTCTTCCCCTTCCTCTCTGAAATCAATAAAAATATATTTTAAAAAAAACCAACTCAAATTATTCTAATGCAGCAATTGTCCTACTGACTAATTCCTTGTGAGAAGATTAATTTATTATTATGGCTTAAGAAGGTTATATCTTCAGTCGTACACTGCAAAAGTAAGGATAGCAGTATTTTAAAAAATTTCTTACAAGTAGAAAATTAGCAACTAGTTACCTTTCAGTTATAAAAGGGCATAAAAATAAGTTTATGCAGAAATATTCCATTGGCACTTATTTGTTCATTCCTTTGCATAGATATAAAGACTTCAGTAATCAACATAGCAAAGTCAAATAATTTATGGTTTTTTGTTGTTTTTTTTAATCCTTCCATGGGTATGTTTAGAGACAGGGAAGAGAGACAGACAGACAGACAGAAAGTCAGAGAGACATTGATCAGTTGCTCTAGTACGTGTACTGAGGGGTTAGAACGCAAAACTTAGGTATGTGCCTTGACTGGGAATTGAATCCCAACCAACTGAACCTCCCAACCAGGGCAAATAATTTATGTATTTAAGAATTTGAAGAATTTTTAATTTTTTTATCTATAAGCTGCAAAGCCATATATAATGATTAATTTTAACTAATATGTTAATTATTATTTTTGTGTGTGATCACTCTATTAACTGGCGTTGTAGCAGACTTGTTCTTTTTAAAAATATATGTATATATTTTTATTGATTTCAGAGTGGAAGGGAGAGAGAGAGAGAGAGAGAGAAACATCAATGATGAGAGAGAATCATTGATCTGCTGCCTCCTGCATGCCTCCTAGTGGGGATCGACCTGCAACCCAGGCATGTGTCCCTGACCAGAATCAAACCGGAACACTTCAGTCCACAGGCCGACACTCTATCCACTAAGCCAAACCAGCTAGAGCCAGACTTGTTCTTTAGTTGTCTTCTAAGTCTGGGATTAATAGACTACCCATGGTCCAAAACCATCTGTTTTGGTATGGCCCATGAGCTAAGACTGACTTTTATATTTTCAAATTGGGGGGGGTGGGGGGTGGGGGGGGGCAAAAGGGAAATAATTTGTGATTTGAGAAAATTATATAAAATTTAAATTTCACATTCCATAAATAACGTTTCATGGAGCACAACCACACTTGCTCATTTATATACTATCTATGGCTGCTTTTGAGCTATAACATCAGAGGTGGAGTGTTGCAACAGAGACTGTATGGTCATCAAAACCTAAGGTATTTACTATGTGGCCCTGTATAGAAAACATCTGAGCCCGGCCTTGGTGGCTCAGTGGTTGAGCATTGACCTTTGAACCAGGAGATGATGGTTTGATTCCTGGTCAGGGCACATGTCCGGGTTGCCAACTCGATCTCCAGTGTGGGGGACGTGCAGGAGGCAGCCAGCCAATCAATGATTCTCTCTCATCATTGATGTTTCTCTCTCCCTCTCCCTTGTGCTCTGAAATCATATCCTGATTTAAAAAACAACAAAAAACCCTGTTTTGTTTGTTTGTTTTAATGGTAGCAACTCCTGTTCTAATTCTTGAATTCCTTGACCAACAAAGATGGCAGTTTTGTATAATTTAATCAAATACATGAAGGGGGATAAGCTTTGGAAAGAGAGAGGTAAAAGCTGTGGGAAATGGTTGTATGTGTGCATGTGTGTGGAAATTTAAAGACTCAGGGAATGAAGAATGGTGAGATTTTGGATTGTTACTAAGAATGAGAAAAGGAGATGAATAAGAACAGAAAATAATTACTCAAAATAGTACTGAATACTCAGGCTCCAAGCTAGTCTCCAGTTAGCCTAGTGAGAGAAACCTTGAATCTGAATTGGGCAGGGCTCTAACCTTAGGCCCGCTTGGAAACTAGAGGAGCCACTTAAGAAAAAAAAAAAAACTAGATTTGTGGATCTAGAAATTTAGCAGCTCATCACTATAAAGTCTGTAGAGTGGCAACATATTTAGATACTGAGGCAGGCTCCTGTCGTTACCTTTCCCGTTACCTTCAAGCTGGTCTCAAGTAACTACTGTAATAAAAGTTATGTGAATGTAGTCTCTCTTACTAAGTCAAGAACTTTCACCTTTTACCTTAAAAGAAGCACTTTATGGCTTCTCTTTGGCATATCTGAATTGCCAGCATCACTGCTTTTGCACTTTGGGGCCATTAATAAGTAAAACAAGGGTGACTTGAACACAAGCACTGTAATACTGTGATCGGCTATCTGAACACCAAGAGGGGTACTAGTGACTAACAGGCATGTACCGTATACTGTTTGGAAACACTGGACAAAGGGACGATTCATGTCTGAGGCACAGTGGAGCAGGATGGCAGATTTCATCACACCACTCAGAATGGCACCCAATTTAAAACTTATGAATTGTTTATTTCTGGAATTTTCCATTTAATGTTTTTAAACTGCTGGTAGCTGAAACTGTGGGTAAGGGGCGGGGGGGCTACTGTATTCTACTTTTTGTCTCTATCAATTTATCCGTAATAACCTTTGAGATAAGGTCATGAGTTTCATTTTATCAATGAAACTGAGAGGCTCAGGTTAAGTAACTTACTTCAAGTGATATACCAAGTGAATGAGAAATAGAATGGGAAGACAGACCTGTCTCCCTGCAGAGCCAGTTATTTTTCTGCTATACCGGCCTTGCTGGCAGTTGTGAAGTGAGTCTACTTTTAGTCAGTTGACTCTGGAGCGATAGGCCACTCACTGTATTAGTCATCTGCTTCATAACAGATCACCCCAAAACGGAACACAGTAATTAACGTTCATTATCTCATACTGTAGCTGTGAGTCAAGAATCCAGAAGTTGCTTAGCTGGATTGTTTTGGCTGAGAGTCTATCATAAGGTTGCATCTGAAGATTGAACTGGGGCTAGAGGACTGACTTCCAAAGTGGCTCATTCATGTGCCTAGTTATTGACAGGAGACCCTCAGTTGCTTGTCACAAGGACCTCTCCATGTGGCTGCTTTAGTGTCCTCATGAAATAGCAGCTGGTTTCCTCCAAAGCTAATGATTCAACAGAAGGTGAGGTGGGAACTGCAGTTACATGTGTAATTTCTATAGTACCTTTAAAGGTTACAGAGGGCATCCCTATTCAGTGTGGCAAGGGTATATTTGAGGGCGTGAATTCCAGGAAGCAAGAGTAATTGGGGGCCATCCTGGAGCCTGGCTATTAACACATATTCATTATTATCCTGAAAGCAGTTTAAAATGTAGAACGCTGGCCAGCTGGAGTGACTCGGTTGAGTGTTGTCTGGTGCACTGAAAGGTTGCCAGTTCGATTTCCAGCCAGGGCACCTCTGGGGTGCAGGTTTGATCCCCATTTGGCAACCCATCTCTCTCTCTCTCTCTCTCTCTCTCTCTCTCTCTCTCTCTCTCCTCCTCCTCCTCCTCCGCCCCCTCCTAAGCATGTCCTTGGGTGTGAATTAAAAAAACAAAACTAAAGTGCAGAACTCTGGACTACAGTGGACTACAGTCAATAAGTTAGAACTAGCTTTGGAAGTACTAGAGTTAATTACTGAAGTCTGTGGTGTAAGTACTAATTCCTTTGAAAGAATAAATACAGGGGTGGGCAAAAGTAGGTTTATAGTTGTAATACAAATAAATAATACAATAGTTAATAAATAATAAAACAAGAATAAACTTTCTATCCCTTTGTACGCCATAAGCGTCTGTAGACACAAGGATGGTTTCCATTTTGAACGCGTGGCAGTTAACTGGCTAGTACTCACAACTGTAAACCTACGTTCGCCCACCCCTGTATAGAAAGATATTCTTGGTATTCATGTACCTGTCCACATTGTTTGCAAAAGATTTAAGACAAAATTCTGTTTTTTTGAGGACATGTATATGGTATGTGTCAACCTCGAACATCTTCAGGACAGTTCCAAATCATGTCTTCATTGCATGGCTTTAGTCTCTATGAAATGTGAGGTACTCTGGAGATTTAACAATTGCAAGTTAATCTTTGCTTCATTTGAGAATTAGGGCGCTAAGATACTTGGTTGACTCTGATGTTTTCACAGACCTTCCGTTACGATGGATGATCTGAAGAACCTTTTCACAGAAGCTGGATGTTCAGTGAAGGCTTTTAAATTCTTTCAGTAAGTCCTTGATTTTAAGAAACACATTAACTTTATTTAATATGGTATGCAAATTTTAGGGTCATTTCAAGAAGTCTTCTAGGGTGGGAGAGAAGGTTTATAGACAAAATTAATTCTATACCCTTTTTAAATTTCTTATCCCATTTTTAGGAAAGATCGCAAAATGGCCCTTATTCAGTTGGGATCTGTGGAAGAAGCGATCCAGGCCCTCATTGAGCTTCATAACCATGACCTTGGAGAAAATCACCACCTCAGAGTTTCCTTCTCAAAATCTACAATCTGACTTTCTGTGAATTTTTCTTCTAAGACTGGACCATAATAGCAGTTAAATGTTCAGACATAGACTGAAGCAACTCAAGACCAATTCTGCCTCTTTTACAAAAATGATTTTTTTCTGAGTTTGCTGTTTAAGTATATTCAAAAAATTAAGGAATGTTTTCCCCCCTGCCAATATGTGCTCAAAGGGGTGTTTTTCTTTTATATCTTAGTTTCTATGAAAATAATCTTCAGGAAAAAAAATTTTTTCAGTAATTCACTTCCCCATATTAAATTGGATTTCAAAAGGACAGACTCTTTTAGTTTGGGACCAGATCAGCCTTATACATTTCTAAACTCCTTTGTACTTTAAAAAATTAAATATAACAACTTTTAAAATTACTTGATATAAGTAATTTCAATTTCTTACAACCAAGTTTTTAACTTTATGATTCAGAATTTGTTCATGTATAAATTACATCAATTATTTGGCATATATTGATGGTTATACATAAACAAATTGGTTTGTGTTGGAAGCATATTTGTAAACTTCATGTTTTCTTTTAGTTTTTTTCCCCCCACTGGTAAGACACTCCTATGAATATTGCATATCTTTAATTTTTTAAGAGTATTTGGAGAAATGAAGCATCTCAGCTGTCCCAAGGAAATTAAGTGGAATCCAACCAGGATCAATTAAGGTGTCAGAAAAATCAGTAACTTTCTTTGGAAAAATCATGTTTTAAATTTAAAATGATACATATGCTGAGTAATATAATATGATCTTAGAAAACTAAAAAAAATTTTACTTATAAACTACTTTTTTATAATTGTTTTCAGAAAAAAAGTTTACAGTCTTAAGGAAAATATTCAGGTCTATCATATGGTTTGACAGATTTTTAAAAGTTATTTTTGGTAAGGTCTTCTTTTAGAAAAAAATTAATCTCAAGGGTTTTTTGTACCACTATAATCTGTAATACTTATTCAGAATTACTGTGTATTTACTTAATTTCTAATTATGTGCCTTATTATGTGCTTATGATACAATAGGTTAGAGTTTTATCTCAGTATCTTGAAAGCTATATTGTGGGCTTGGTGAGTGTTTCCCTTTTCTTTCCCTGTTTTGGTAAGGATTTTAAAGGATTTTTCATTGCTATTTTAAGTAGTTTTCAATAAGTGATCATTTTTATCCAAATTTATGGTGCTTTGGTGCAGAGATGGGGTGGGGAAGGATAAATGGTTTAGACAATAATTCACTGTACACCTGTAGGCCTCTTCACATTTGACCAATAGCAGTCATTGCTGTTATGGCATACTGATTTGGAGCTATGAAATGGAATCTCAGTTTTTGGATCTTGTCAAATCTTTATCATTCATCAGATTTTGTCTCAGGATTACTTGATTTTTCTCAGTACTCAAGCAGAACTTGCTTTTCTTTGTTAATGTAGCTTCTTTACTGAGTGCCCACATATGTGGAGTATGGCAGAGTGGGTTCCTTCTCATTCTCAGTCCCATTCCCTTTTTTGGTTGAATGTAAAAGTGCATTTTAATGTGGCTTCAGTGATTGTATAATGTAAAATTGTTTCTTTTTAATGAGAAACTTAGCTTTTGTTAATTACTCCTTCAATGCTTGATCAGATTTTTTAAAAGCGGGATTTGTCAAAAGGGACATTTTTGTCCACCACTTTTACACTTCTCAGATTCTCAGAGTGGCTCATCTCACCTTTAAGAGTAATATCTCAATCTCTTTGCTATATTCCAGCCATTTATTTGAACACAGGAAGGGTTTTACAAAAGAAATTTTACAAAAAATTGGAGACACAGGAGATATTATAGGTTGTTAAAAAGCAGAATTCACTCAACACTGAGCAATAGAAGGTAGGTAGAATTGGAAGGAGACTACTAAATTGAGACCTTTTGGGTGCATCAATTTAGCATTGGCTGAATAGATAGGTATAATCACTTATCAGATTTTTGATTTTTTTCACTTATGAGATATATTTTTAGCTAAACACTGAGTAAAGGGGAACGGGAAAATGTCTTTGAGACAGCTCCCAAAATTTACTGCCTTTTTCCCTCCATACAGGCACTATTAAAGTTTTAGTGACAGGTTAAATTGGATTCTTTCATTTGCTTTGAGTTACGAATTTTTGTGTAGTTTAAAGTCATGATTCTCATAATCAGCGTGTAAGTGTAGCAAAAGTGTAGCAGAAGGGAGATCATAAGGGTGTTGAATGTAATTTTGAAATAGAGCATGGCCTTTAAATCTGAGAGAACGTTTGAATCCTTTTCAGGGATTTGTGTATGTGTGTTTATATAAGTGTGTATAAAACTTATATACACTTATAAGTTTTATATAAGTATATATATAAAAAAATATATACACACACACACACACACATACACTCTTCTGATGTTGTACATACATATACACATTACATACCTTTAATTTATTGACAAAGAAAATCAAATTAAGATTTGGAAAAATGAGATATTCTTATTTAAAGTAGTGTGTTTGAAACCATCAATTTGTGTCTAAAATTAGCTGTAGCACATGGATGTTATCTATACTGGGCTGTTTGCTGTTTGACTTCTAGAAGTCTATAGTGTTTGTGTTGGCATAGTTTATGTAAAAAGATTTTAAAATATCAGGGTAGTGGAAAAATTAGATCTTTGTATTTTTGTTTTTGGCATGCATTTATTAGATATCTTCTAAGTCATGTTTTCACTGTTCAGCTGACATAGTATTCTATTTTTAAGCTTATTTACTTTATTTTAAGGAGTATGTCTTATCACTTTTGGAAGTGTCTTCACTTTTACACAAAGTATATATATTCAGGACTTTAAAAAAATAGCAGTACATGTTTAACAAGTAGCAATTTATGCCAAAAAGTTTTTCTTTGAGATTTAAGTAAGTTGCAGAGCAGTAAAATGTGTTTAGTGTGAAATACAAATAGAAAAATGATCCAGTAACTAAATTGTTAACTTATCAATTAAGAATATCAGCATTTTACCCAATAGCTCCTACAGAATGCCATAAATCCTTTAAGACTAAATATTGTAATCTTTTATTTGTAGTAATAATATTTCTGATTTTTTTTTTTTGTCAAAAGATGCAAATATCATCATTTTTAGAGACGTATTTCTTTCTGCTTGCCTAATTCCTTATGGGAGCAGGGCAATGCCTACAATAGTAATCTAGGTTCTGCCTCAGTTGGTTAGAAGTAACGCTAATGAATGTCTCTGTTCGGTTTCATGTAAACATTTCAAAGCTTCCCTGTCCTTTGGCAGCAAAGTTTATATATACACTAGAGGCCCGGTGCACAAATTTGTGCACCAGTAGGGTCCCTCGGCCTGGCATGAGGGATCAGGTGAAACCTGCTCTCTGACATACCCTGAGGGGTCCCAGATTGCAAGAGGGCGCAGCCAGGCCGAGGGACTCCACTGGTGCACGATCAGGGCCGGGGAGGGACGCAGAAGGACTCCAGGGCGTGTCTGGCCCATCTCATTTGGTCCCAATCGGCTGGACCCCAGCAGCAAGCTAACCTACCAGTAGGAGCGTCTGCCCCCTGGTGGTCAGTGCACATCATAGAGAGTGGTTGAGCAGCCTTAGCATATCATTAGCATATTACTCTTTGATTGGTTGAACGGCCGACCGGACAACCGGACACTTACCATATTAGGCTTTTATTATATAGGATTGAGTAAATTATCATGTAATTTCTCTTCTGTTCCCACTAAATATTTTTGGACAAAAGATAACAAGCTCAAAAGTATGTGCCCTCCACCCCCAATGAGTCACTTAAAAAACCTGAAGTTTGCCAAACTATTAGCCTATTTCTTAGAAAACTGAATGTGTACTGCTATTTTTAAAACCAAAAAGACAGCATGACTATGCGTAAAAGCATTTTTTCTTAGCCTTTCCTTTGTCTTGATCTGTTGTTATCAAGAATACTGCCAGACTTAAAATATTCTACTATTGTCCTCAAAGAAATACAATTTAGATTGCACAAAACTTTTCCTTTAAAGACAATATAACTCAGCTGTCTTTTAAAAGAGCTGTGTTGTTATCTAACTATTTGCAGTCTTTTTTCAGAGCAAATTCTAACAGTTAGTTGTGAATTGTTTAAAAAAATAGAAAATAACTAAAATATTAGTGTTAGGGGTTTTATAGAGGGAGAAAAACTAAACGGGACCAAAGTTTATGTGCCTTCTTCAGTAGTCTTAATTGACCTTTTCTTCCTATTCGAGACTAAGGTAGTATCAGTGTTCTGGTTTTCAGGAAGGATGTACTACGTAGTTTTAAAAGAATGTTATCCCGCAGACTATTCATACAAGGGAAGAATTGTAACTGTGTAAATGCAGCCTCAGTTACACTTTTGCCTTTGTTGCATAATATTTATTATATTGCATTGTGCAGGTTCAGGAACAGAACTGCTCGCTCTAGATCTTTGTGGTAGTCATCTTAGTTTCTGTAACCTGAGGCATGTGTTCCAGAGAACAGGGATATTTGTCTGGTCCAGTGACCTTGGTGATACTAGTCACAACTGAAAGCTGCTTATGGCAAGCCCGATTCAGCACTGTAAACAGATTTTTGTTCTTGTATTATTTTCAATTTTTGAATCTATGTAGTAGTTGTAATAACAGATATTTAAATAGCTATTTTTGATGTCAGATTCTGGCCTTTTCCCCCCTTCCCATTGTTACCCAGGTATTTGACAAATTCATCCCACATCCAGAAAGTACTAATTGTAAAGATCGCTGACCAAGCAAAGTTTTGCATCAAAATGTCACCTCATTGCTCTGACCAAAGACTGACTTCTGGTTGTAACTCCTTTCTATTAAGCATTGTTTCCCAAGCTCCTTTCTGAAAGAAGACCCAGCGCAGAGCGGCCTTTACTTTCTATTTCCTGATGGTGAATAGACTACTTGATATTACTTAGAGAAAATGGGAGTTTAAATGTGAGCAGAGTGGGTTAGGATGACAAGGGTTGGATGGGCATTTTCAGTACTGTACTTAAGAAAAAAAAATAGCACAGCTAAGGAGCCTATGACATTGTCTCGTGTTTTGCGTGGTCTGTTCATAAGATTCCCTTTTTCAGTTTATAAGAATGTTCATCTAACAGAAGAAGATGCTGTAAATATTTGTAACAACATTTTTTTTAGCCAGGCCAAAAAAGAAAAAAAGGGGGGGGTTTGGGGAACAAGTTAACATATAAAGTGGTTTTATATAAAACATCGATTATCTTGTATATTTTGATAAGCAGCAGTACCAGCTTCATTTGTAACACAGTTTGTGGCATTGGGAAAAAAGGATTCTGTTATTGTTGATGTGAACTATGTTATAAATGCAAAGAGATGATAAAATATTAAAAAAAACATATTTTCTAAATGCGTCGTGCATGGTTAATTCAAGCTTCTGTACACTACAGTGTATTCCATTCTCGTTCAGTTTGTATGTTTGCCAACTATTACTTGATTATCTCTAATCTCTTTTCCTAACAAGTATAGCATTGTAGCATGCCTTTTAATAAATGTCATGACATCTGTACGCTCTTAAAATTTTTTCTGTGTTCTTGTCTGTACTTTGGGTTTCCCCTTGTCTTATCTGTAAATCTAATGATGTTATATTCTTTAAAAATTTTCATAGCCATACATCTAAACTTGTCATAATAGCAAGCACATATCTATATAACTTCAAAAACTGAAAAACCTTAAGTCTGCTAACCACCTTTTAAAATTAAAGAAAATGCCCTAGCGGGTTTGGCTCAGTGGATAGAGCGTTGGCCTGCAGACCAAAGGGTCCCAGGTTCGATTCCGGTCAAGGGCATGTACCTCGGTTACAGGCTCCTTCCTGGCCCAGGCCCTGGTCTGGGCTTGTACAGGAGGAAACCAATCAATGTGTTTCTCTTACATTGATGTTTCTCTCTCTCTCTTTCCCTCTCTCTTCCACTCTCTCTAAAAAAAAGGCAATGGAAAAATATCCTCGGGTGAGGATAAAAAATAAAATTAAGGAACAGTTCTCATTTGCGGAGCAAACTGCTTTTCTAATTGTCCTGTAATGCAACTTTCTCTATGGCACCCCCCCCCCCTTTAGTAAAGTGCACGTTGGCACACTTGCATGAGTTCTCTCTCTCCATCTCTCTCTTCACCTCTCTCTCTCTCTCACACACACACACACACACACACACACACTTGATATATGTGCAATGCCAAACAAGAGTTGGAACACTTTTTCTAGTCTAGTTCAGTTTTTGGCTCTCCTATGGGATTAGTGTCCATAAATCTTGAGACAGGAGGCGTGATCTCAAACCATGTTTGTGTCCTTTTTAATTAAAGAGTAATACAGATATCAGCTGCCTACATATTGCTTGTCCGTAGATAAATGTTTTGTGTCTGGGTTCTTTTAAAGAAATATTGGATTGTAGGAGTCTCGGCTCTTTTGGAAGAAAATTTATTTTTAATGGATTGGAAAATTAGGTAAACCTTGATCTTTGCTGGCTCACCTGTAAGCTCTATTATCTCCATAAATGTAATTAGATCAATTTTTTTTTTTAAAGCATAAGAGACATTTTTGTCAGGAAAAGATAAAGTAACCCTATGGCCAAGTGAGGTTTTACAAACTTGGCCATGAATGCTTGTTTACACAGCACATTACTTATAACCATCACCAGGAATCATGCATTTTTTAGGATAAATGGATCTAAGCTCGCCTAGTTCAGTTTCCACTTTTATAGGTAAGTGGCACAGAGAAGGAGGTGACTTGCCCAAGGCCACGTGCCAGTTCGTTGCGGAGTCTGGACTAGAAACCAGATCTCCTTGAGATTATCCACGACACTCTATCATACCCCAGGTATTGTGCTGTGAGGGTTACGACCTTGAAGGTCTGTACATGGAATTGGGATGTTTATACTACCATAACCAGTCGAAAGACTGCACAAGTGGTGGTGGTGTTTCTGCTGAAGGGTAAAAATGCCTACCTACTTCTGAACATTTTAAATGAAAAATGTAACCAAGTTGTAAGTCTGAGAAAACTAACTTTAAAAAAATGTAGTTACTATTTGTCTGAGTTTGCTAGGGCTGACGTAACAAAGTATTCCAGACGAGGCAGTTGAA